TCCTGGCCCTGCTCAGAGCCCACCCCTTCAGAAGTCCCTGCCATGAGAAAGCCTATTTATTTCACTTACGGTTGTTGGGGGTTTTGTTGCTTTTGGAGTTTAGGGGTTTTTGGTACTATTTCCGCTTTGTGGTTCTATTCATTAGTCACCTATGTGTTAGCATTATTGCGGGTGTGTCTGTTTGATGTTTGTGACCAGTCACTCAGGAACTATTGATTTGAGCACATTTACCAAACACTAGGCTACAGAGCTAAATAAAATGAGACTTGCAGGTTAGTAGAGAAAAGTAAATAAGACTAGTGTTATTAGGTTGGGAGCTGGGGGAGGGGACTGGCAGGGCCTGAGCAGGGCAGCACACACACGTTATTGTCCGCCACGTCCCTCATGTATGAGCCCCCTGCACAGCTCCTTGCATTTAGTGTCTGCTCCATGAATGTCTTTTTGAGTTGAACTGAATAAAAAGAGGAGACTTTAGAGAGAAAACAGGGCAAGGGGCCAGGAAGAAGGGGACAGGGAGGGGGAACTAGAGGAGGCTGCCCCTCTGAGAGCATGTGCTGGCAGAGGTGGTGTTAGGAGTTTGGGGCCCATCCTCGGGGCCCCGTTCCAGAGTCCTGAGCAACCAATTCTGCCCACTCCTTGGAAATAAGGACACTTGTTGGGAGGGGGGTCCTTGGCAGAGGTCTGCTGCTCAACCCTAAGGATTGGGGTTTCTCTAATTCAAAACAGAAAAGGAAAAGGGGGATCTGTATTTGCCTTTTTGGTTTTTGTTAGGGCAGGGTAAAGGAAACATACAGTTTATTTCATGGTGGGTTTTTTGCCATATTTCTCAGATTTTCAGTTGGCTAATTCAAGGAACAAATCCTTATTTGAAAGCTACTGCTGCCGGGCGCGGTGGCTCAAGCCTGTAATCCCAGCACTTTGGGAGGCCGAGGCGGGTGGATCACAAGGTCAAGAGATCGAGACCATCCTGGTCAACATGGTGAAACCCCGTCTCTACTAAAAATACAAAAAATTAGCTGGGCATGGTGGCGCGTGCCTGTAATCCCAGCTACTCAGGAGGCTGAGGCAGGAGAATTGCCTGAACCCAGGAGGCGGAGGTTGCGGTGAGCTGAGATCGTGCCATTGCACTCCAGCCTGGGTAACAAGAGCGAAACTCCGTCTCAAAAAAAAAAAAAAAAAAAAAAAAAAAAGAAAGAAAGCTACTGCTGTTGATTTTGGGAGTTCTGGGGGTTAAGCAACCTTTTTATAGCAGTATGCCTTTCTTGGTTTCGATTGGGATACTTTAAGACTCTTAAGTGTGGAATGTGCCTTTCAGATCAGGGCTTGGTGTCTGGCCCTGCCAGGTACACATTTGGCTGGGTCCTTTCCTAGATCACAGGTTCTTGCTCACCAGTGAGGGTGATGAGAAAACAGAGCTCCTCTGTACACTCTTTGGTCTCACATTGTTTGAGGATGGAACATTCTGGTTACTTCAGTAAGAGTCTGTCCACTTACCTCATGGTTCTACTTGGCACACCTCCACCATCCAGAATATGGACACAGTCCTGAAAGTAAGCAGACAATGCCTCTAAAAGGTGGGACTGGGATCACAAAGCTCATGCATCCATTTAATCAACATATTTATTAAGTGACTACTCTGTGCCAGCAACTGGGCTAACAAGGGAGGGCCTCCTCCCCTCAAAGACTATATGGTGAAGAGCATAGCAGTTGTTCCCTGAAGGCCTATTACCCAAAACGACTACCTTTTTGCAAATAAATCTAACAAGACTTAGTTTATTCAGTTTTCTAGCCTTCAGCCAATTAGCAGTAGTAAATAGAGGATACGTGGGGATGATTGGTGACTGTAGACACAGAAATGAGTAGGCAGGAATGGAGGAGGAAGACAAGGAATCATATACAGAGATGCCAGAATGGCAATTACTACAGTCTGAGCAAGCCAGTTGATGTGAGGCTGAGACCCAGTGAATTTCAGTAGCCCTGAGGACATCATTACCTAACACACTCCGGTAGTTGATGTTCCTGGTAATAACTCTAAATCATTCTAGAAGAAATGGATGGTGATTGTGCTTAAGGCACAAACAGCTATAATACCTTTTCCTTCCCTCCCTCCCTCCCTCTTTCCTTCCTTCCTTCCTTCCTTCCTTCCTTCCTTCTTTCCTTCTTCCTCTCTCTCTCTGTCTCTTTCTGTTTTAAGATTTCCATCTTAACCATCCAAGTGGTTAAAATGTGTTTCTGCTTGGAAACAAGTCACATTTATCTGAAAAGTTACTTACATGGAAGGGCTTATTCCTCAACAAAACCGTGCACATGAAACATAACTCTTGTTTAATCAAATCATTGTCATACATACAATCGAGAATGAGGAATTGTCAAAGGATAGAATACAACCACTCTGAATATTCTGTGAATATAATTCAATCATTGGAAGTATCTAAGGATTGCTCTAAAATTGATTTTCAGTGATTATCCATTTACGAAAACCATACCATTTATTGTAATCAAAGAACTGTTAGATAGAGTACACAGGTTATGGGGAAGTGGCCCGCAGGCTGCAGATGACAAGAGGTTTTGGTGCCACAGATGTAGGTGGATTAGTGTGAGGTGTAACTGACCATCTCCAATACACTAAGCTTTTCTGCCAGGGAAGCAGGATCTGTTATTTATTTGATAGCCAACAACTGCTTGGAACCAGGTGTCAGCAAACTTTTCCATAAAAAGCCAGAGAGTAAATATCTAGGGCTTGTGGGTTACAGCTACTCAACTCTTGCCATTGCAGTACAAAAGCAGCCAGAGACAATATATAATCAAATGATGTGGCTGTGGTGCCACAAAACATTATTGGTTTTAAGCTTAAATAGTAATTGTGGAACATAGGTGATATAAATATAAATCTGTATGGCAGGAGGAAAAACCAAAAGAATGCTTGCAACTGGAGGTTGTCAGAATGTTGAGCTTCAATCAGCTTTTGAATCATTGCAGGATATCAGCTTTTCTTTTGTTTAGTTTTTCTTGAATAGAGTTTGTAATTTTAGAATTTGCTGGGCACAGGTCAGGTCCCAGACATGCTGATCTCCGATCTTCTACTGCCCTCTGTTTGGTGCTTCAGAAGGTGGGCCTGCATCTTTTAATGCATTTAGGTTGTCTCTGGCAGGACCACTTGCCACTGTCCTCTGAAGAGCACAGGATTGCTCTCTTAGAAAAATTTGTTTGATGGACCATCAGAAACCAAGACTTTTTCTCTACTTGAGATGGTCATTCTATCTCTATGCGTCATGACTTCTTGTTCCCTAACACAGTGATAGTGACTGTATTTGTTGAGTCGATGTTCCTTTGGTCAAATATGTTATACACATTTAACTGCCTTTCAGCCATTAGTTCTCGGCCACCTTGGGAGGAGTGGGCCTGTCCTTATTCTTCCTTACTATTCTGCACAGCTTTCAACTCTAGAATGTCTGTCATTGTGAATAGTAGTTACTAGTCTGCCCTCCTAGATTTTGGGACATGTCCTTACTGTTCATAACAATACTGTATTCAATCCAGATGCTTGGTTTCTTTGCTGGGGGTGAGGGCAGTAGAGGAAGAAGAAAAATTAGAAAGTCAGGGTAAGGATAGATAATCCAATACAACCATTGAAAGCCTGCCTTTGCCCTTCAGAGCCATAGTCTTCAGGAAGCACACATGGCCAGTGATGCTTTTGAGTGATTTCTTCTGTTGTGTAGTTACTTGAGTTCTCAAAAGACGGAGGTGTTCTTACCTGTGTCATAGCCTGTGGTATAGGTGGCTTTTCCATGGCACCTACATCTGGTGGGGAGCTTGAGCCATCACAGTTTCTAACTGAGAAACCTGGTTGGTGATGCAACAGGCCAGAGAGGTTAAGATAAAGAAGAAGAGAAGGGAAATCTATGCTTTCTATGTCTTGTAGCACATGCTGTGGATAGACATTAGTCATCGATTCTTGGTTATTTCACTGCTATCTCCAGAAACTTGAATTGCAGCTTCTAAAGAGAAAGGGTGCTTTGCCCAGCACTTGTTTCTGAAGGCACGGATGTGTTTCTTAGAATACATGTGCATAGTCTGTGAGGTGTACAGAGTGTTAGGATCTGTATCATTCATTGCAAGCACCTCCACCAGTTCCCTCAACCCTCATACCAGCAATCCTTGGAGGAGGTGTCCAGGGCTGGAATGTAGGTGTTTTCACAGGTGAGGAAACAAAGGCACATGAAGCACCCCACAGCCAGGTGGGGTTAAAGGATGTAGGAAGACATCCTTTAACTCCCTCCCCTTCTCTCTGCCTCTCCTTGCCTTTTAAGTCAAAATTTGAACATATCTATTGAGGCGTTGTCTACTCAGTAGATCTAGGAGACCTAGGTTCTAGTACCACCTCTAAATTGGCAGGCTGGGCCAGGCATAGTGGCTCATGCCTGTAATCCCAACACTTTGGGAGGCCAAGATAGGCTGATCAGTTGAACTCAGGAGTTAGAGATCAGCCTGGGTAACATGGCGAAACTCCATCTCTACAAAAAAGTATAAAAATTAGCCAGGCATGGTGATGCATGTCAGTAGTTCCAGGTACTTGGGAGGTTGAGGTGGGAGGATCACTTGAGCCTGAGGTGTGAGATCGAGGCTACACTGACCCAAGATTGTACCATTGTACTCCAGCCTGAGTGACAGTGAGACCCTGCCCTGTCTCAAAAAAAAAAAAGATAAATTGGCAGCCTGTGTCTGCTGCTGCTGCTCTAGCTGACCTTGGGCAAGGTATTTACCCTTTAGAGTTTCACTTTTTATTATCTGTCATGTGAAGGTCCTGTTTCAAGAAGGCTAAATTAACTCTCAGAAACAGGGAAGAAGAACTCACATTTTAAATGAGCACGGTGTTTAGGTGGGTTTGCACATAGAGATTTGCAGGTATAGGTAATCACAACTCACTTTGGGAATGATTTTGTCAAACCTCCTTGATGACAAGACAACACCAAGTTTCTGGGTTCTTTCCTGTCTTTCAGATGCCAGTATGGACAGAATAGCTTATGATGCTTATCCCCACCCACCACTTCCGAGACATTGAGCGGAAACCAGAATACCTCCAGCCAGAGAAGTGTGTCCCACCTCCCTACCCTGGTCCTGTGGGAACCATGTGGTTTATCCGCGACGGCTGTGGCATCGCCTGTGCCATCGTTACCTGGTTTCTGGTCCTCTATGCAGAGTTTGTGGTCCTCTTTGTCATGCTGATTCCATCTCGAGACTACGTGTATAGCATCATCAACGGAATTGTGTTCAACCTGCTGGCCTTCTTGGCCCTGGCCTCCCACTGCCGGGCCATGCTGACGGACCCCGTGAGTATGTCTGGGCTTGTTTTGACCAGCCCACACTCTCCTCCTCTGGCCCTGGCATGGCCATAGCCTGCATGCTCCCCCTGGACCTTGGGAATTTTGAGAGCAGGAGGGCCAGGGAAGGGTGGGGAAGTGGACCTCTGCCTTGTTCAGAGTTCGATGGAATTCTGGCTAGGGAAGAGGGGTCAACACCTGTACCACAGGCTATCTGTCTTGGTTAAATGCTACTGTATGTATATGGATATATACATTTATTGAGTCTGCTGTAGGAGGGGTTTGGTCTAGGGGAAACCTGGCCTCTGGTTAAAAAGACACAGATAACCTTGACGACTGGGGCCAGATGATCAGATTAGAAAGCATGCTGGGTGGTTGGGTCAAGATGGGGCTTCCCAGTGAAGACAGGGCTGGAACTAGGTGGATGTGAAATTAAAGCCACATCCAATTCCAGGAACCTGCACGGAAATGGCCATCACTTTGCTTGGGCGAGGTGTATCTTTTCCTGAAAAGCTGGACAAGCCTGTTTCAGGCCGCAGCAAGTGCCTCTTGGTGAATATCTGTTGGTAAAGCAGTAGTGTTCTGCTCAGTGACTTAACTAAATATACAAGCTGCACACGTGAATATTGAATATTTGTGCACCCTGGTATTAAACCCTCTCTTCTGTTCCTTCCCTTGTATAGGAAAAGCAAGAGAATACATTATTTGATAAAGACCTACTGTGGCTTGTTTCTGTACGTTGGATGTGTGTGTGCAAATTAAGAGAGGGAAAGCACTGCTACTAGCAGTGACACTGGCCATACAGGTTTTGTTTCTGTGAGCCCCAGGGAAAGTGCGGTGATGATGATGATGATGATGATGATGATGATGATGACAGGCCTGAGCTAGTTCTTGTCTCAAAGGGCTCCATTTCCTGCTAGTTCAGGTGGTAGATTATTATTAATCAATTCCAAAGGAAGGCAGCTTTCCCAGCTCAATTACATGTCAGCCACTGGTCCAGACAGCACCTCTGTTCATGTGCATGCCTCAGGGAGACCAGACACACTGACAGGCAGGGGCCTGTTGGCCTAGTATTATTAGCACTGCTTACAGAACAGCTGTCACCTGAGGGAAGCCATGTATATGGGTATAATCCTAAGTGTCCCCAAACACAAGAATATAAAAGAGTTTTCCCAGCAGCATCTACATGGTCATGCTGAAAATAAGTTAAGGATTTATTCAGAAATTTTTATGATACCATTGCTATTGGGGATACAGAAATAAAAGACATTGCTTTGCTCAGTTCATAATTTAGTATCTACTAAGCCCCAGATACTGTTCTTACTCTTAGGATGCCCCGAAAAGACAGGTGACGATAACCCTGTGTGATGAAGGCTGTGGGAGAACAAGGGAGGGGAGATTAAACAATCTATAGGGGTGACTGCTTGGAGGAAGCAATGTCCAAGCCAACTCTAGTCTGAGCAGTGGACTTGGAGAATAGGAAGACAGGCAGAAGGAGCAGCTTGCACAGAGACATAGGAATGCAGAGCGTGGCTCCTCTAGGCACCAGGAGTGGTGGGAGCTTGGGAAGAGAATGGACTTAGGTTGGTGATGTGGGTGAGGTGCCTGAGGAGAAGGATAGGAGGTGGATGATGAGGGGCAGTTTAGGGCCCCTGAGAATTTTCAACACGTCTTAAAACTGTCATATTACAATTCTCACTCTGGCAGTAGTGAGGAGGAGTGGCACTTGGTGTGAAAATAAAATGAATGGCCGTGTTCCCTCAGTGCCCATTCTGTGAGAGATTCCTTTCTGAGCAATGGCTACAGCTATGAGCAAGACCGATACAAATTCCTGCCCTCGTGAAGCTCACTTTGTAGTGACAGGGTCAGGTAATAAAGACATGATTGAGCAGGGAATTTTGGAAAGTGATAAGTGCTTTAAAGACAGTAAGATAAAGTGACCAAGATGATGTGCTGGTGACTTTTCTGGGGCAAAGGGGGACTACTTTAGGTCAAGGTGGTCTAAGAAGGCATCTCTGAGGTGGTGCCTTTTGAGCTGACGTGAATGACATGAAGCTACAAGCCAGGCAAATGAAGATCCAAGGGCAGAGGAAAGAGTAAATTCAAAGGCCCGGAGGCAGAAGCGTGCTTAGCACATCTGAGAAACAGGCCTAGGACCAGGGTGATCAAAATATGGTTGTGGTGGGGAGAGTAAGAGTGGTTAGAAGAGGTGAAGAGGGCCTCAGAGGCCAGATGTGCAGTGCCTGGTAGGCCTCATGAGAGGCCTCACTTATTCTAAGTGCAGCTGGCAGCCATCAGAGAGACAGAGTGTAATCTGATTTGCAGTGTGCTTGCAATGGAGGTACAAGGTGTGATGAATAGAAGCAGAGGACTAGAGGTATTGCGGTGGTCCGGGCAAGACATGGCAGTGGCTCGGACCAAAGTGGGAGCAGTGAAACCAGAGAGAAGCGGTTGGATTTGGCATCTATTTTAAACTACTCATTTCCAAGCCTTTCTGTACCATCTCTTAGAGAGCTGTTTAAAAATACTGATGGCTGGGTGTCACTCCCAGAGACCACTATAATTGGCCTGGGGACGGGGCCCTGGGCATTTGATGCGTTAGAGCCCCCACGTTTCCCTCACATTTCCCTCTCAGGCCAGGCCTAAGAACACAGTTCAGAACTGACAGACTGGAGAGACATTGGAGAGTGTACTTTTCAAAGTCTTTGCCAGAGCAACTTGGGGATCACTGGTGCCAGTTATTGAATAGGAAAGTCTGAGGAGAAATGGATTTTGGAGGAGAAATTGAGGCTTATGTTCAAGTCAAACTGCCACTAAAATTATGTGCAAGCAAAGATGCTAGATGGGCAGTAAGTAGTCAGTCTGGAGCTGGTAGAGGATCAGGGTTGGAGAGAGAGTGTGAAGGTCATTGGTTTCTAGAAGACATGTGAAAACAGGGAAGTGGATGTTGGGCAGTGGGAGGGGAGGCTTCTGCCCTGGTATTCCCACTGCCCTCACACACATGGGTTCTTTACCCGCTGCACTGAAGCGGGCAGCCTCTCCAGAGACCTTGGCCAGCTGGCCCTTGCAGTGGATGCAGGAGAGCATGATTCTCACTGTGATGTGTTGCTAGCTTCCAATCCCAAAGCAGTGAAAGGCACAGACTGTATCCTAAACCACAGTTAGCTTCCCAGAGGTGTATTTTGCTGGTAGCCCCAAAGAAAATGGGCCAAACAATGAAGAATTCACCAAATATCTACCGTTAGTAATGGAAGCAACTCAAAGCATGTTCTACAAATGTGCCCTATTGTAGGATCTTCATGCTACCACCTGCCTCTCCCCATCCCCAGCACATGACATCTCATGCAAAATCCAGTATGTAAAACAGAAGTGGAGCTGCAGAAGTGGGAGCTCCTCAGGCACTGGTGGGGTAGCCTGGGCTTTCAAGGAGCAGAGTTGGAAGCCCAGGTAATAAGCAGATCAATTGGGGGGTTCCTTATTGATGTTCCAGAGGAGTCTTTTTTAAGAAAGAGGTCACTGCAGGGTTCTAAGGAGTTCCCTAATGGGATTATAATGTTTTATGTCTCAAGAATTCATGTTGCACATACTTTTTCAGAACAGTTTACATCCAGAGGTTTTAAGTAATGTATGCATTGTGTATCACTTTGATTTGTTATCATTACTAGTTAAATATATGTGTGTATTTATATACATTCCCTCAAGCAGTTACTTTACCACTTTCGGCTTTGAAATAATAATTCCAAGTGTAACATCTGAACACTTGGAACCACTATAACCTTCTGAACCATTTATCAGTGATTTACTCCAATGTAGCAGTAGATAGGTCCAAATAGAGCTTTAGCAGAAAAGGGAAGTGGGAAATGACTCACAGATGCGTAAACAGCCTCCTTGGGGCTGAGACTGTCATTTGAGAAATAGGGCAAAAAGGACAGGTCTTGAAACAGAGAAGAGAACAAGTGGACAGAGGAACAGGGCAGGTGCCTCACTTGGCCAGCAGGCTGGCCTGGAGACGGCGTCGGTGTAGGCAGGAGCACAAGTCAGGCTGACCTTTGATCTCCTGACGCCCTCTCCTTGCCCACTCTGAGGTTGTGTAATGTCAGCAAAGGAGCCTTCTGTGTTCCTAAAACACTTAAGACGTTCAGAAGTCTAGAATGGCTCCACGTGCCCTGAGGAGGCAGCCTCTTGAAGACAACCTGGACTCAGAAACCCTTATTTTCGTACCCTTCTCTCTCTTTTCCCCATTTCTCAGTTTCACCACCTTTTCTTTTCCAAATTCCTCCTTCTGTGAGCTCCCTCAGTGTCTGTCTCTCAGAAGATACTTGAACCTGACGGATACAGGTAGTTTCTTTTTGTCCCAGCTGCCAGGAGGCTCAAAGCCAAATGTTACACAATCAAAGTAATTGTATAAACCCTTATGATCAGCATATTTTTGCCCCTCCTTATTTGGATCTTATCATTTATTAACTTCATAAATTACTTCAAATCTGAGACTTGAGAAAAGGAGGAATATACAGTCATGTCACTTAATGATGGGGATGAGTTCTGAGAAATGCGTTGTTAGGCAATTTTATCATTGTGCAAAGATCATAGACTATATAAAGATCATAGATTGTATTTACACAAACGTAGATAGTACAGCATCGTATGGAATAGCTTCTTGTTCCTAGGCTGCAAACCTGTGCAACATGTTACTGTACTGAATACTGACTATGGGCAACTGTAACACAATGTTATTTGTATATCTAAACATGGAAAAGGTACGGTAAAAACATATTATTATAATCTTGAGGGATTCACCATTGACTGAAACATTATGATGTGCAAGAGTGGATTATAGTCAATTTAACCACACTGTTAAGGAAAAGAAAATTTGCCTGTCTGCCTGCTCCCCAACCCTCAATTTCTTTTGAATCCCACTCTGTGAATACCTTGCCATAAACATAACCTCCATGACTTCTGAGACCACTGCAGGCCACTGATTTTCATTTCAGCTGCCCAAAGTCATTTAG